ACGTGGATTTATATAAACTAATAATAACATAATTAACAGCAAAAATGACAATGATGAAATGAAGGAATGAGAATGAATGATTATCAAACACTCAAAATAAATGAGTAATTAAATTATCATTAACTCTGTTTATTTTAATCATAAAATATGGTTATGATATTCTTTTATTCTTTTTTACATCAACATTTATACAAACATCCATATCTAATAATGTAATTAGTGATGAATGATGATTGTTAATGAAACATATTTGAAGAAACAACTAGTTATTATTGCAATAATTGTTAATTGAATATTAATTGATTTGAATGATAAATACCTTCTAGATATTCAATTTTAATTGATTTAACTTCAATTGATAGTGTATTTCAATATTTTATCATATTTTGTATATTCTGTGATTTGAATATTTTTCAATTATTCTTTCTCTTTTAAATGTATTGAATGATTTATTTCATCCATTATTATTTCTTTATTTATTCTTCAATCATATTCAAATATTTCTTCACATTCATTATAAGTATGAAATAATTCATTACTATGAAATAATATTATTGAATAATGAAATAAATGAAATAGATTAAAATGAAATTATTCAATATTTCATTGAAATATTTTAATACTACCATCAAAATACTTTATTATTATTGTTTTTTTCATTCTATTATATTTTCATTCTTTCTTTGTTATTTATTATTGTATTTCAATTCTTTTATTTTAAATTAAAATGACTTGTATTTCTTGTCTGATTATCATCTCTTGTTTTTTGACAATCAGTGCTTTGCTTTTCTCTTCGATTTCCACTACTGTCTTTTTCATAGGAGTAGTTTCGTTCATCTTCATCGTTCCTGATGATGTTTTCCTCAGTACTGGTTGTGTATTTATCACAAGTGTCATCGTTTTCTTCTTCTCTAGTTCCTTCTGTGAGATAAAATTTTCAATATCATCTTGTTGTTTTGATATTATTTGTTTTTGTGCTTCATTTTCTTTTTGTGTGTTGTCTAATTCTTCTCTTGTTATTTCTGCAATTTATTGGTTTTTAATTGCAATTTATTGGTTTTTAATTGCAATTTCTTGATATTCAGAGATTTGTTTTTCTTTATCTCTTATTTCCTTCTTTAATTCTTTAGTATTTTCCTCTATCATTTCAATTTTCTTCTCTAATGTGTTTGTATTTTATTCTAGCAGTTTGTTTCTCTTCTTCAACTTTTCAATTTCTTCTTTCATTTCTTCATTTTCTTTTTCAATCTTCTTTTTATTAGCTTGGATACTTCGGATTTTTTCTTCTTTATTATTTACTTCTGTGATTTTCTTTCCTTCTATCTCATTTATTTTTCCTTGTAATTTTAAGTTTTCTTCTTCTAATTTTTCATTTTCTTTCTTCATTTCTTCATAATTCGTTTGAATCTTTTTAATTTGTGTTTTCATTTCTGTAATCTCTTCTTCAAATTCTTTCCTAACTATTTCTTTTGCTTTTCTCATCATTTCTTCTGAGATGGCTTGTTCTTCTTCCATTCTTTTCATACTGAATTCTTTAACTTTTTCTTTTAATTCAGTAATTTGATTTTTAAGTGTAAGTATTTCTTCTTTTTCTTTTTCTTCTTCTATCTTTTCTTCTTTATTTTTTGTTTCTTCTTGTATTTTCTTTATACTTTCTGTTTCATTTATTATTCTTGCAATTTTACATCTATCATTCATTTCTTTAATTCGATTTTTGTTTTTAATTTATTCTTCAATTGCCTTAATGTCTTTTTCTGCAATGTCTTTTGTTTTTTCTTTAATTTCTTCTTTCGTGTTTTCAATTATTTTTTTCTTTTTAATTGAATATACTTCTTGAAGAATATCATACCATCTTTTCCTCTTACCTTCATATTTTTTTAGTATTTCTTCGTATTCTCCTTCTTTCCATTCACTTGTTATTCTTTTTATTCTTTCTTGTATCTCATTTATTGTTATTCATTTATATTTGTTATTTGTATTATCTTTATTATTATTGTATTTATCTTGTTTTTTTGTTTTTATTTGTGTCTTTCGTCTTCTAATCTCATTTTTCGTTGGTATTTCATTTACCATTATTGTTATTGTTATGCCATTTATTGCTATTGATATTCATTTTTTATTGCATGACATTTGATTTCTGTATTTTGTTTGTTTTTCTTTACAATACACATTGATATTACTCAATATCCATAGCATTAAAATTTGATGTATTTCCTGCATTGAAAAAGGATCTCTCAAATATATTAATTTAATTTAATAACAAAAAATAATAAAATCAATTAAATTTACTTGATTTTATCTAATTTATCATATTAATTTATTCATTTATTGTATTTATATTATTATATGTGTTGATATTAAAAACTGTTGAATTAGATATTTCATTGTATTTAATGTTGTTTCTATTATTTAAATTAATAATAAATAAAAACAATCAATTTATTAACTATTTATTAAATACAAATGAAACGATAAATGAAATAAGAGTAAATTCTATTAGTTTGTAGATTCATTAATTGTATTTTTTATTAATTTTGTATTTATTTTTTCAAGAATTTGAATATTTTTTAAATGTTTCATTTTTTTGTGAGTCAATACTTATTATACTGCATCTCAACCATATGACGTGAATTAGATTTAATAAAACTCTGCATATTCTTTCTTTAGAAAATATCTTATTTAATAAATACCAACAATTGATTGACATATAAATGTAAAGTAAATTGTTCAATTTTATTTTATAATTATTACTATACACATTGAACTATGATAATACATTACAAACAAAATCTTTCAATGAAAAATTCAAAAACATTCAAATAAAATGATTATCATTTACAGACACATTTGTATTTAATAGTTTTTTATTATAAAAAAATAAAAAAACACAGAATTATATTTAAGATAAATTACATCCTTTATCTTTATCTTTTTTATTACCTGTACTATTTTCTTTTGACTTTTTTAAACATGCTCGAATAGCCTCTTCAAAAATAAAATCAACGTCTTCTTTGTCTGAATCATTCCACTCGATGTACTCAACTGCACCAATTCTTTTAGCCATCGCCTCTCCTTGTTCTTGTGAAATTAAAGTAATTCCTTGTTCAGTTAATGAGTTAATTTTTTCAAGGGGTTTTTCTGACTTCAGCACAACTACCAACAAGAATGATAGGTACATCTGAACATTATTCTTTAATTTCAGGTTTCCATAGTTTTTCTACGTGATTATATGAGTCAGCATCAGTTATAGAAAATAAAACAATAAAAACATCAGTAGCTGGATATGATAATGGTCTTAATCGTGCATATTCTTCAGAACCCTCAGTAGAAATTATATTTATAGTATTCATAACACCATCAACACTAATAGAGACTTTTTGATCCTGAACAGCAGTTGGTGGGATTTCTCCTGGGGCAATTATGCCTGCACAAATTGCAGCAAGTTTATTTTTACCAACACAATTATCTCCAACAAGAACGCACTTGAATTCCATGAATTGGTTTTGTAGTTTTGTTGTTGATCTTTTTATTATTCTAAGAAATTTAAAATCATTTGAAAATAATGACTGGAATATTCTAGAATTTTTAGGCAACGAGAAAAGTAAGAAGATGAAGAAAGAATATAAAGAATATAAAGATACAAAAGAATAAAGGTAGAAAGTAGAAGAAGATAAAAAGAATATAAAGAGTAATAAATCACAAAGAGATAATAAAAGAAGAAAATAAAGAAGAAATAAAATATGTATTTTTATTGTAAAAATTAGAAATATGAAATAAAAGTGTCTAATTTAATGATGTAAAATAATTAACAATATTTTATTAATGAAAAATATTTTACTCTTTTTTATGTTATTATTTATATGTATAACTTCATCATGATATTTATTATATAATCAATCATATGTGTTATGTTATTATAACATGTAATAAGTGATAAAATATAAATGATATGAATATATGATATAGAATATAAAAACAAAAGAATAATAAGAATAAATGATAAATAAAAGGAGAAATGATAATCAATGATATAATAATAAAATCAAAATATAAAAGATAAAATTAATATTAATATAAATCAAAAGAGAATAAATATGAATTGAAAATAGATATAAATGATAATAATATAAAAGATGAAAAGATGAATAAACAAATAAACAAATACATCTAAATATAAAAGAATAACAATAAGAAAATCTAAATAATATAAACATAAAAAACATAAAAATAATCAAATAAAATAAGAATATAATAATATATAGATAATAATAAGAATACAATGATATACATAATATAAACAGAGAAATAAATATATAAAAATACGATAGATAAATAACATATAAATAAAAGAATAAAATAATAAAAATAATTAAATATGATTCATCAAATCATTTATTTCATTAATATTTCATACAAAATATAAATGATTATAAAATATAAACATAAATATTTATATATTCTGTATTTATCATACTTTTTATTTTTTATTTTTTTTAGGAGCAAAATATAATAAATGGAATATTCTATGGATGCAATTTTTTTTGCATCTTTTTTTCTTTTTTGTAAATTATTTAGATGCATTATTTCTTTGCTTATTTTAATCCCCTTATAATTTAATTCACTTATTTAATTTCATCAATTTTTTTTGTTTCATACGAAATTTGATAATAAATGTTAAACATCATTCAGTTATGAAGTAGATAAATGAGGATATACTAAATTATCACATTTATTCGCAATGAAGAATTAATTTGAATATGTATAAATACAATTTATTATACATTTAATTTAAATAAATACATTTTTTTAATTCTAAGTTTAAAAATATTTTATAGACTTTCAATGGTATATCAACAATATATATTTAGTACATCAAATTGAATAAAATATGTGTAATATTGAATGTAATGTTATTTACATAATTATTTTTAAATCCTCTTTAGATAACAAACAATTATGTAAATAAGAATTTATTTTTTAATAATATGATAATACTAAAATTGAATGATGTTTATTTCAATTTAGAATAAAAAACACGGAAAAAAAGAATAAACATATTGTTAATATAAAGAGAAGAAATTCAACAAAACAAATAACATGAGAAAAGAAAACAAAACAAAAGAATAATAAGTTGAAGTTTGTAATATAATTGTAATTTTTATTGAATCACAAACATTTAGTGATGACGTTTTATGAACTGATGGAACTAATGGAAATAAATACAAATGAATATTTAAACATGAACTTAGAAAGATATATTCATTAAATATGAACATTTTAATTTTACTGTTCATTGGATTTTCATTATCAAAACAATGTAATGACTATAAACAAGGGTATGAAATAGATACAGTTGATAGTGCATTTGAATGTATTGAATCAATTAAAACAACAGAAAAAGAAAACAGTGATATTATTAATGGATTAAAATATTATTTAGAATCATATGTTTTTAAAGATATATTAAAGAATCCACCACAACCATCATTCTCAGATGATTATTATAATAAAATTGATATTGATGCAGAATTAAATAAAATAAATACACAAACAACAAGTATGTATGATTTCTATTCTCAAATTAAAAACTTTATTGTTTCAATAAGAGATTCTCATTTAAGTTTTGGTGTGGATTACACTGTTTATAAACCAAATTTAATCCTAAAGGTATTAGGCAGTTTCCTTCCATTTTCAATATATATTAATGATGAAAAGAAAATGTATTTACATCCAAGAAGCACGATTGGTGGTATTTCTGTTGATGTTCAACAAGAAGTGATTAATAATGAAAATGTAGCAGTTAAAACAATTAATGGAGAAGATCCATTTAATTTTATTCGGAAATTTGGAAAGAAATACATAGGATTTAACTCTCCACATGCACAATTTGAAAAAGCATGTTCAACATTTGTTTTTGCCATATTAGAAGAAATACCATTAACAAAAGAATATTTAAATACACCAATAACTATTATATGGGAAAATGGAGAAAGTGTAAGTGTTACATATTCTATATTAAAGCTGCCACTATCAAGTATATCAATGAAAAGATCACTTCAAGTGAAGCAATTTAAACAAAGATTTGAGCCAAGGATAACATTAGAAGAAATAAAATCCGAAAATGAAATGATTAAAAGAATGAAAAGAGAAGAAGGAATAAACCAATATTATGCTTCAAAGGATGATAGTGTATATTGTTCTTCTTCAAGTAATATTAATAAACTTGAAATTTTTTCATTTAGTCCTGAAAGTAGCTATATAAAATCATATGAAGAAACAATTTCAAAATGTATTGATTTATTTGATTCTAATGATTATCCAATTCAAGTAGTATTCTCAACGAATGAAGAAGAAAATATAATTTATTCACAGTGGATAGAAAAGATATTATCACCATATGATGATGTTGATATGATTGTTTCTGGGAGAATATCAAATTTTACGGAAAGTGTAATGAAAAGAGAATATGGAAATATTTTAGATGACCCACACATATGTAAAGTAAGAGAAAGTTATGTAAGTCCAGAAGTACTTGGAGAATGGTATACAAATCCAAATATTATTAGGTATGATGATCTTATATATAAACTTTCACAATATTTAAGTGTGCAATTGAAACAAATGAAATTAATGAGAAAACCAAGAAAACCAGTAAAACAAACAGAAATAGTAGTTTCTACAGAACCTCTTTGTTATTCTAATTGTTCGACAATAACACCAAATATATTAAGTATGATGATGTTGAACATAAAGTTTCACAACCTTCAGTTATGAAATGGGAACCAATGAAATTAATGAGAAAACCAAGAAAGCCAACAGAAATCGTAGTTTATACAGATCCTCTTTGTTATTCTGGTTGTTCTACAATAATAAAAGGATTAAAAGAATGGGGAAGTGCTATTATTGTAGGATATGGTGGTGACCTATATGGTGAAGATGAAGAATTTGAAGTAGGATTAACATCAAGTAACGCTATTAATGTTAATGATATAGATAATGATAATATTTTAAAACAATATGGTTATAATCTTAAAATAAGTCTTTTAGAAAGATACAAACATAATTATAATTACAGTGAAAAAATTCCAAGTGAATTTCTAACAGATATTGTTGATGAAAGAATACGTGTTAGTAGCAGTACTTATTATAGAGAAAGAATAACAGAAGAAACAAAGAAAATAGTAGAAAAGTATAAAACTAAATGTAATCAAAAGAATAAAAGACTAGTTAAAAGAGATAGTAGATGTGATAAAGAAATTAATATACAACATGGACATGGAGGGTATGAATGTGGAGATAATGGAGAATGGAGTACAAAATGTGTACTAGCCTATTGTGATTCAGGATATAAATTTGATTATATCAACAATAAATGTATTGAAGATGTATGTGTTTATCCACCAAATCTAAGCAATGGAGCACAACGAATGACAATAAACATATTCCTGATAATAATTGGAATAATCACATTAATTCTCTAATTGAAGAAAGAATAGTTTAAAATATATTTTTTAGTTTAATAAAATAAATAAGAATGAATAATAGTGTGAAGAACCAAAGAGATAGTTTAAATATCTGTATGTATTTTTCAAATAAAAACAAGTTAATTAAGTATTGATAGAATTATTTACCATTGCTCTGTTTTATAAGATTAACACCATCAATACTACCCAGCATCTATACAAAATATATAATTGGTAGAGAAATAATTTTCTATAATATCAAACATGTTTAATTACAATGTTTTTAAAATATTTATTTTTTTTTTCAATTTTAATTATTTTATTAATTTAATATTCGAGATCGAAGGTGGCACGTCTGAAACACCACACACAAACCCTAGTACAAATTCATACTTCGACTCTCCCAGTTATTATCTGGTTATGACGGTGCCTTTGAATTAGGAATGTATTAGGGAATGCTGCAAAGGGTGCAGCAAGAGAATACAGTAGAATATTACGTGGATGTAATATAAGAATCTACTGAAGTGTGGGTATGACTAAAAGAAGATTAGTCAAAGTAAGACTAAAAGAAAATTAGTCAAAGTAATATAGTAGTAATAAAATGATTCCTTCTCCCATTCATAAAATAAGAAAAATGAAATTCCTTAAAATTAAGGCAGAAAACAAACAAAGGCTTAAAAAAAGAAGAAATAAGCAGAAGAAGTTTGAAAAAACCTTAATAGGAAAAATAAAACAAAGAAATACTTTCCTCATTTTGCAAGACAAACCTAAATGATAGGTTAAACAAAGAGATTACTCTTTTTTAATAAGCTCAGGGATGGGATTAGTCTCCCCTGAGCTAGGAAGAATAGATGAAAATTCTATTAATACTTAATTAATTGATTATTATTATTTATTAATTTAATATTCTCTACATTCAAAAACTCATTGATAGAAATTACTGTTTGAATTTGGTTTATTTCTTTTATCATATTTTATCATTCACAAATTATTCAGTGTTAATACCTTCGTTCATTATTTCATTTTATAATTCTATTTTATTTTAATTTTTTATTGTTCATTGATTATGTATTTAAAATTAAATCTTCTTCTTATTCTGTATTTCTATATTTTTCATTCTTCTAGTTTTATTCATTCTCATATCAAATATTGTTATTATCTATCATTATGGTTTATTTATTATCAGTGTCTTTTTCTCTATTTTTCATTGTTAAATTTCTTTATTACATTAATGAATTGGTATCATTTTGTATATTTATTCTTATTGTGTATTATTTATCTTTTTTCCATTTCTTATTGTTATTTAATATTTGTTTTGATTTATCTCTTCACTTCTTATCTCTAAATTCATCTTATCACAATTATCATATTGATTTCAATTGATATCCTTATTATTTATTATTAATTATCATCATTTATTTATTTCTCACTTTCATTATTTGGCTGTTTTTTTATTTGTGCTTTCATTTCATTTTCATTTCTACCATTATTATGTGATTTTATCATTAGTTGTAATGTGTTATTTTGTTATTTCTTATTATTTATTATCTTCTATTTTCTTGTTTTTATTATTGTTATTGTAAAAATATAAAAGTCATTTATTTAAAATAAAATGTGATAAAAATAAAATTTAATTTGATGTGTTAATAACGTGTATTAACTATTTAAACATTCATATTTTGAACTTACAAACATCAATTTAAATTAAAATGGAAGAATTGATAAACAAGAACAATCAATTAATTAATGAAGTAGTAGAAACACTTCCAAACATTCAACAATCAATTGATGATACTACTAAGAATTATGAATATTATATAGGAAGTATTAGAAATGAAGTGTTTAAAATAAAAGAGAATGAAACATATTCAGAAGCAATAAAAAGAGGAGAAGGAATATTTGATAGGATTGATGAAACAGAAAGAAGAAGAAAACTAGTGATAGAAAAAAGTCAAGAAACAATCAACCAAATAGAAATAATGAAGAACCAAATGTCAAGAATCATAGAAGAATGTAAATCAGATGAAGAAATAGTAAGTAAAACACGGAATGAACTAATAGATAAAATCATTTCAATTGAAGAAATGAAAATGAGAGATAAAATATCCAGAGTACCAGAAGAAACAGATAAAATCGACGAAGAATTTAATAAGAAGAAAGAAGAATGGGAAAAGCATTACAGTGATTATTTAGAAAGGAAGAAGAGAGAAGATGAAGATGAAGCAAAAGAAAGAAAAAGGCAAGAAGAAGAGAGAAGAAAAGAAAAAGAAAGAAAGAAACAAGAAGGAGAAAGATTGAGAATAATGAAAGGAATGAATACAATGGAAGAAATGTTACAACTTGAAGAATGGACAAATAGAAAAGTATTCAATATACTATTTGATTCAGATAAAGATGATTGGAAAGTTAATACATCAGTATTTGATCAAAGAATAATAAATAAAG